TCGTATCAAAAAAATAAATATAAGAATATAAGTTATGTGGTAAAATCTGCTACCAGAATATGAAATCTGACAGATATCAGTTTACACAAAAAAAACACTAACTTTGGTGTAGAAGTTTTGCTGAAGGAAGGAAACTTATACTTTTCAAATGTAATGCATTTAGCTGGAAATCTGCCATTTTAACTTGATATAAGTTTGAATTATAACCTTGTGCTGCAGTAAATGTTTTAGTAGAGTGCTAACAATCAAACTGAGCACTCCACATTCTTCAATAGATGGATTCTATTTAATCTGTTTATTCTATTTAATAATTTTTAAACTGTAATAGGTTTATGTAGACAGCTCTGCAGGAGGAGAGATCTGGTCTGGATGCAGTGACGGTCTCCCAGCTCTCAGACATCCTCTTTCATTCCTGCCAATGTCGACTCCACTGTCAAGAACTTGACGAAGTAAAGGATCTTTTAATACTAGATTTTATTATTTTAGTTTCAGACCAAAGAGGTTTTGATAAACATGAACAACAGTATTCAAGGTTTTATCTATAAAACATATTAACACATACAATCATGCACATTACTACCTCTTAGTCTGATAAATGGCATACTGCTCAATTTTTGCACTAAACGGAATTTCTTGAACAACATATCACATGACGAGAAATGCTTCCAAATAACATGTTGATGTTTTCTGTAAAGTGACAGTAAAAGCTTTGATTCTTTATTGTTAACCATGAAATCCCAAGAGTGAAACTATTTCTGTATTTCTATAAAGACATCAATAACATGTGCTTCACTTTGGCTTTTTTATGCTCCTTCCATTACATTGGTCCAATCTTTCCCTAATTTATTTAAATTAATTGAACACAATGTAATAATATATATATATATATGCTATAAAACACTCGGCGTCTCAGCTCAGGGCTATGCATCTTTGTTTTTCTCTTGTCTCACTTTTTCTCTTATTTTCTTCTTGGCAGCAGTATTTTTGTGATGTAATTTTCACAGTGGATGCTGGAGGGGGGAAAACGCTTCCTCCTCCTCGCGCTTCCTCTCCGTCGTTCCCTCAGGTTTGAGCTGTTTATTATTGTTCCATGCAAATGCAATCACTTGGAACACTCACCCATGTTTTCATAGTTATTATGATATAATGTATTTATTGTAATCTGTAAATCATGAATAGTTCATCTGGATCTTGTTCTTGGCACATTTGCATAAAATCATCTTTTGCCATAGCAGTGGGAGTCAACACCACAGTAAGCTGAGGGGATTGCGGAATTGTCTCACTCTGACTTTTTAATGGTTACCAATTAATTACTAGACAAAATAAAAAGGAAAAAAAAGGAAGAATTTTGTTTAATTTGCAGCTTGGCACATTTGGACATTGCTGCAAAGCATCTGTTTCCGTCTCTCTGTCCTTGCTGCTTTATCAGCCACTCGTGGACCGAAAGGTCTTTTAATTTGGAGCTCTTTGTTGAATCTGCCAGCAAAGCTCTTTCCTGCTATCACAAGCGTTTTCTAAAACACGTTTTCTTTCCTTTTTTTTTTTTTTTTTGTGCCCATCTCAACTCAAAACTAGTTTAATCAGCCAGCGTTTGAGGTCAAGGAATGACACCTCTGTGAAAACTTTGCTTCCGCAGACTCATTTTATGAAAAGAAGAAGCAAAAAGATTGATACCATGCTGCTAGTGAGTGTGAAAGTGTAAGAATTATGAAGATGAAATGGATTTGAGGAAAGATTTTGTGGTTACTGAGGATTTGATGAAACTACACAGTAGTTCTCTCTACAGCAGCTGTGTTGATGGTATAAGTAATAAGCAACAATATTTCCCTTTTGCTAAGAGCTTAACTAGATTGATGTGTTGATTCTTTTAGAGTGAAATGTTAACATGTTAAATGCAGCAATCATGAACCCTGAAATGTATTTTCTGTAGGTGGAGTTTTAGACATCTTCTACACAAAAGGTTCCTATACAGCCTGGAAAATGTTTTTTTTTTTTTTTTATGGTCTATAAGAGAAAAGGGGGAAAAAAACTTTTTTTTGAAAGTAGTATCCATCAATCTTTTGACTCTCCATTTATTTTCCATCCATAAATGAATTCTCATTTTATATCCATTTTACTATCCAGGAATGTGTTTATTCATCCATTCATCAGTCCATGAAAAGATAAAAAAAACATTTCCTTGTCAGCATATTTATTTACATTCATTTTTCTAACTATGGCATAAACTATAACTCTAATAATGCTACTTAGAATATGTATTGAACATGGATTTAGATTTTTAAACATTTTCCAGCCTTATTTAGTGCAAAATTAGGTGAAGTGGACAATATGCAAGAAGGCTTATTTATATATATCTAATTGGGAAATTTTACATTAGATAATTTGTTTTAAATTATACAATTAGCCTTCAGTGGAATTTAAGATGGTTTGTTAAATGATAAAATTATAAATATTAGACTATTAAAAGTACCAGATGTTCATGTAATAATTTAGGTCTAGATTTTAATGAAACAGGTTCTAACTACTAACCCACAGCCTCACAAGGTCAGAGGTCAGCTGCATTTCATGAATTTGATGAGAAAATGTATATTTCAGATATTCATCAATCCATCCTCTCATCCAACCATTTCTCCCATCCATCCATTATTCTGTCCATCCATACATCCTCCCATCCATCCTTCAATCCATGATTTGATCCACTCATCCATTCTTCCATCCATTCATCCTCCCATCAATCCACCGTTTATTCCATCCATTCTTCCATTCATCCTTCCATCTACTCATTCTTCTACAATGTTTCCATCTATACATTCTTTCATTCACCCATCCTCTCATCATTTCATCCATCTATCCGTTCTTCCATCCATCCATTCTTCTGTCCATCCATACATCCTCCCAACCATCCTTCAATCCATCCTTTGATCCATCCATCCTTCCATTCTGCCATCCATCTATTCTTCCACCCATTCATCCTCCCATCCATCGTTTAATCCATCCATTCTTCCATTCATCCTTCCATCTACTCATTCTTCTACAATGTTTCCATCTATACATTCTTTCATCCTCCCATCCATCCATCCTTTCACCCATCCATCCAATCTGTTTTTCTCTGTCTCATTCTCTGATAAATCTCCAAACTGACATAGAAGCCAGACAGTGTCAGCTCAAAGTTTCCTCGCCATGCAGTCTGACTACTAAGATTCTTGCTTTTTTGTCTTGCAGAATTGGTTCAGCCACCCTGTTGAGAAATCCCTCCTGGTTGTTTTCATTCAACGTGTTGCTATTCAGATCTCTCTGCTGTAGATGAAGGCTAGATTGAAGATAGGGCTGTCACTTTATTTGGGTAGAGAAGCTGCTTGTGCTGCAGTGAATTGAACAAAAAGGTGTGACCTATGTCTGCAAAATAGAAAACATCAAGAAGACAATGGTTTTAAAGGAGCTGAAACAATTTGATCCTTACCCATTTCAACAGTTTGAGGAAGAAAATACAGCAGCTTATTGTCACATTTAACAAACCTGAATAAATCAAAGTAATGCCACTCCCCCCCCCTCATCTCCTTTATGCCACACATATATATTGCCCCTAAATCAAGTCCTTTCCTCTCAGAGTATTGATATTTGCTGAGGTGGGAACAGCGGTGTCTGTGAGTGCAGGTCTTTATTGCAGATCTCCAGAAATACAGCACCCTCAGTGTTCCACTGATTATTTGGTTCACTCCTCATAGACTCTACTAATCATTCATCGTAAATGAGAAGCCTGATCTATTGGAGATTAGATCAGTCAACAATCATCTGTGTTGAATAAGTGATTTCTGCAATGGAGTGAACCTTCCACATGAGAGGATTCACAATCACATTGTTGCCAGAAGGATTGCCTATTCATTTTTTAGGATGGTTATGTTTTACTCCATTTGTGTGCATGACTTAATTGAATATAGCCTCAACCTTTAGAATTTCTTTCCACGATGCCCAAATGTATGTCTTTTTATTTAAATATTGTTAGGAAGATAAAGAATACACATTTATTTTTTTATTCAATTCAAATTCAATTCAGAAATACTTAATCAATTCCAAAAGAAAATTAAATCTTGTTGTAACTCGTGTCTTTTTTGCAGTGAAAGTGTATGGGTTTATTATAGGCCATCCATAAAAGGTATACAGCTATTCATACAACCTCACAGGTGTTCAGGCTTGCAGCTTAGAATAGGTGTTTTGTTTAATCTGAAATTTAGAAATATGTATAAAGGCATGAACAACACCATCAAAATGGCGGCGAAGAATACTGTTACTGCTTTATGCATGGAGGACCTCATTATCTACCCAATTATCTACTATAGATTGACATTCAGTCCATGCACCTATTCAATTAATGAGTAAACTTCAGATGTAATCATTCGTTTTTACATGCAGTGCTTCCCTGGTCGAAGCATGTTGTTGCTCTATGTATTATCTTTATTTCACATCAAAAAAACTATTTATATCCTATTGAATAAAACAAAGACGGAAACTAATCCACAATGGCATCTTTCCAATTGCCGAAAGAAGTAATGGAAGCATTTGCTGCCATGCCGCATATTGTTTTCAGCCTCTCAAAGAGCATAACTCATACTTAAAATTAGATTTCACTTTTCCTCAAATGGCTGGGTCGTTTCTTCAGTTTGTGTATTTCATTTTTATTATCTTCTGCATAAATGTCAGTGTGCAGAATTATATTAGCTGCTTTGTTTATTCCAGTCCTGTTTGTCTTTATTTTTGCATGCACTGAGCCATTAAATATAAACCTGATGGTGGGCTCTCTTTGTTGCACTGACTCTTCCAATGTGGCCATGCGCTTCGTATTTGTTAGATTTGCTCTTAAATGGGAAAAATGGCTGTAGGAACCTGTCTGTGAACAACTTTGATATGCTCCAGCCTCACTCCAAACACCATGGACACACAAAACAATCTGCTATAATTACATTTTTCCTCATGCAGTGACTCTTTCCTTTCCTTTTGAACAGACCTTCCTCCTCCAGCCACAAGGGAACGCCCCCCAGGTTGCAAGACCGTGTTTGTCGGTGGTTTGCCGGAAAACGCCACGGAACAGCTCATCATGGAGGTTTTTGGGCAGTGCGGCGATATCACGGCCATTCGCAAAAGCAAGAAGAACTTCTGCCACATCAGATTCGCAGAGGAGTCCACAGTAGACAAGGCTCTCTTCCTGTCTGGTAAACTTTCATACCTCGACTGCACATTGCAGTTATTTTGTCAATGCAGTGCAGCTCAGTTTACATTTACAATCTAGTTGGAAGCTCATTTTTCAGTGTTGAATGATGAGAACTTTAATATATTAAAAACAGGATTATCAGGAGTGGTTGGGTTTGTTTGGTATCTTCCCACAGGCCCAGGTTGTAATCATATTCCATACATTGATGGATTCATGTGTTGACTTTTCTTTTCCAATTAAACAATTAATACATGAAAAGCAGCACAGTAGAAGATCTTTTTACAGAACTAAAGCTAAAACTATTTAACGTTATTAGTTCTGCATAAAGCCTATTTAAAGAGACACTATGTCAGTTTTTACAAAATAATATCTTTAAAATATGCTTTTTATTTGACCCTTAACGACTAAAACATTGTTTCATGAGCAGACTGAATCAATAGGTCATTTCCGATGCATCTATAATCCTGTATCCAATTTTCCTGAAGTCAGAAGTTCCCACGCTGTTCTGCTGATGTGACGTCATGCTCCTCCATGTTGGATTGGTCCGACCTAGCAAACAATACAAACCTTATATTCAAGATGTTTTTTGTGGATACTCAGAAGAGATCAGCATCCAGCTAAACTCAGACAAGAACCGTAACTCCATCTAGGGAGAAAAAGTAAAAACAAAAAACCTTCCGTAAAAGTTTAAAAAACAATCCACTGGACTTGGTTTCCAAGGTTTGAAGACGTTTCTCTTCCCATCCAGGAAGCTTTCCTAATTCAAATGTCTGGATCCGCAGTGAGTTTGAGTCTTTATATAGACAAGGCCTTGTATTGCTTGGCAACATGCAAATGGAAACTGACGAGTGGGTCGTTTGGTTCCATTGTTAGTCTGTAATATCTGAAACCTGTCTATGATTCTGAAGGTCGGTCTAAACTTTTACAGAATGACTATGACCTGGATAACTGAGAATCTTCATCAGCAAATAACGAAAAACCTTGTTAATTATGAGCAGAAGAGTGCTGCAGTTCTATGTTTCGGCCACAAAACATTACAAAACTGTAATGTGCCTTTAAAGACAAAGAAGTTTTACATCTAAAATGCATATATTTTTGATTCATTTCTGGCTTAATTACTACTCTGAATTAATTTTTATTTCAGAAAATGCATATTTTAAAGTTGGTGTACTCCAGTTAACAAGTATATAATGTGATAAATGAGTTGGCATTGGTTTCAGTGATCCATTAAATACAATTAGTTAATTCTCTGAATAATTGTTTCAGCACATAAGGGAATTTATCTAAAAAGCAGTTTATCTACTTTGTACATGTAGAGATGCATAATTTTGTAGAAAAAGGAAGTGTGTAATGTTTTTTTTTTTTTTTTTCGGCACTAGTGGCTCGTTTTTTCAATAGAATAACACGAAAGCGGTATGAGAGAGGGGGAGAGACACGTGGCAATGGTTGGATTCGAACCAGGTTCGGCCGCATCGAGGACTAAGGCCTCTGTACATGGGTCGTGCACGCTAACCAGTGCACCACCTGCGCGCCTGAACCGTCTAATCTTAAACTATTGTGCTTAGGGGAAAGAAAAGTGCTTTTGATATTTAATAGTAATCCATGAAAACCAAAACTCACTCTTATCTTTAAATGGAAGGTGCCTCAAACTATTGTTGAAGTAAAGCCTGTTTATAACTGAATTAAGTGTATAAATAGCATTTTTACCGCAACGCTTTCTCAAGAGACTTTTTATGATCTGAGAAGATGAGGTTATTTTTTTTTTTGCCTCTGTGATTGTATGTAATTAGTCCCTCAGCATGATGGCAACACCTACATACTTAACAGTTGGTACAATGTTACTAGGTAAGAACGTCTCATCTGGACTCCTTCAAACATTAGAGTGCGTTTAAGGAGTTGAGGTGAGACTTTAACATCTAAAACCACTGTGTTAACTGTTAAACACGGCGGTGGTGGTATTGTGGCGAAAGTCACTCTTGCACCATTTAATTATTGAAGGAGGCTTCCCATAAAGTCCCGTGCTCCGTCACAAATTCACACCATTTGAAATCTGGACTAAGTATAGTTTCCCAACACGACAATAATACTAAATATACTTTAGTAGCAGTTTTGGGAAAAAAAAGTAAAATTACCTCCAATTTGTTAAAACACTTTTCTACAATGCAGGCCTGAAAATTAAATAAAACTAGTTGGTTTCTTAAAGAGACATCTCTTTAAATAATAATGGAGATGGAAAATGCTATTTGGATTTAAATACATTCACAATCATTTTAAAGTTTAATGACAGTCAGGGTTTGAGGGTTTTTATTTAGAAATGTGAAGATCGGCCTGATTTATGACACCTAGCTGAGTTTGTTGTGTTGCATTTAACCTTAATTAGATTATTTAAAGCTCTAATTAAACAATTAGGAGTTACTTTATAGAGACAAACATGTAGCTGTGGCGTCGCATAGATCAGCATCAGTTCATTTTGGACTGAAAATGGGAAAAATTAGATCACAAAGGACCTTAAATTCCCAGTTTATCAGCTTGTGATTCAGAACAGTAATAGTGAGGAAAGACATAGTTCAGTAAGAAAAATCCAGATTACTAAATAATAAAAAAAATCTCTACCACCTATCTGGCTCCACTTTGTGTGCTTTTATCTCGTCTTCATTTTCAAGCTGAACAGAACAGAGATGCTCAATCTCTCTGTGGAAACCGATGACCACTCTCTCCTGCTTTAAAAAGCCCACTCAGATGAGCCAGCCTCTCAGAAATATTCCCAGCTTAAGTGAGTGTGTGTGTGTAAGCGTGTGTGTGCACAAATCCATGAGAGATAGTGAGTTTGAATGAGAGATCCCTTGATTTCAGCAGCCTCTCTTCTTACAGTGAGGTGTGGGTGCAGAGGTTCATATATTAGAGCGATGACAGGGCTATGTAGTTTCCCCATAAATAATCCCCCACCCACACACACTCAGGGAGAGCCTGTGCAAACAACAATACCCAGCAATGACACACTCAGGCAGCTCCAGCACACCAGCTTCTCCTCATATGAAATATTAAGGCTGCGCTAGATTAAGAGTCTAAGGCAGTGAGAGCAGACTGAAGTAGAAACTCCTAATTTTCTCTTTCATCTCGATTCCTGATTTGTCTGCAATCTCTTTCTTTGAGTATTTGGATCATTTAAACCACTTAAACAAAAGGATTGTAATTAATTCAACAGCTGGACATTTTTAAAACAAAACAAGTATGATAGAGTAGGTATAAGAGGGAAGTTAAGAGTGTTAATGAGGACTATTCTGGTCTCACTGAGCACATAGAGCTACACATATCAAACAAGATATGGAAAAAAAAAACAACTATAATGCATTATGTCCTCTAATACTAAGCTGTTTTTTGTCTGTTAAAATAGTTCTTTCTCTCCACTGTCACCGTGTGTTTCCTCAGGAGGAGAGGTTTCTGCACAGTCACCATATTGGTGGAAATAATGGAGCTAAAATTGTTATTTAGCTGTTTATAATACATCAATTATAATACATAAATTTTTGGTTTAGTCATGTGCTGTGAATTTTTTTTTTATTTTTCCAGAGATAGAAAAATCTGATTAATCCTTTCTTAATAAATATTTCACTATTAATTGACAGTCTGCTTCATGTCCCTAAAAACCTGGTGGTTTACGCTCTCATGGAATGTTGTTTTTATTTTTGTCTCCGAATATAAACTGTGTAAAGCATTTTAACCTGTAATCCTTAAATATTGTGACTGGAGGATTTACTGTGACTGTCTTCACAGAGAGCTAAGAAAGCAGAAGTCATTGATTTAAATTCTTTGATCCGTGAGAGTTAAGGTTAAGATACGACTGTAGAGATTTTGAAAAAGGGCTGCGTACTGCCTTTATACCAGGGCTGTTATTTTGGGATTGTATCTCTTATCTATATCATCTATTTTCAAATAAATTCAAAGGTTTTTTTGGTAAAAAATAGATTTTTAAACCAGTTATCTGTATCTTTGCTAGGTTATCGAATCCGTTTGGGCTCCAGCACAGACAAAAAGGACACCGGTCGCCTCCACGTTGACTTTGCACAGGCCAGAGATGACCTGTATGAGTGGGAGTGCCGCCAGCGCATGCTGGCCCGAGAGGAGCGCCACAGGCGCAAGATGGAGGAGGATCGCCTGCGGCCGCCCTCCCCTCCTCCGATTGTCCACTATTCAGAGCATGAGTGCAGCCAGCTGGGGGACAAAATCAAAGGTAGACACAGATGCTAGCAGCCTCTGAGACACAGAGCTTCTTCATCACATGAGGGAATATTCTTCAAGTTTAAACTTGATATGATATGAAAAAGGCAGCCGGGTTTCTATAAAATAATGTCATCTTGTTTAGATGTTTTTAAAGTCTGGGGAAGTGTGTGGGGATAAAAAGGGAAAATGGGAAATATTTTTGTTGTTCCAGACTTCATTTCCCGTTCCTTTGTCTAATTGTTGTTCATTGTCCTCCTTGCACACCTCCCTCCTGGTGTCCTCATCCTTTCTTCTTTGGTGGTGGTGGTCAGCAGCCCAGTGGCGCCGATGTCAGTCTGCCCCAGGGCAGCTGTGGCTACGATCTAGTCAATGAGGAGTAAAGCTCTTTTCCCATCTTCTTCCTTCTTTTTTCTCATCTCTTTCCTTATGTCCTTCAATTCTTCCTGTATTTTCTTCTCTCTTTCCTCTCTGTACCCTTATTTTCTTTGATACTTATCTCTTCCCACCATCTTTGTCTTCTCTTCTATCTCATTTACTTTGTTCCTTTCTCCATTCCTTAGTTTTATTCATAATAGCCTTGCTTTTTTCCTTGCATCTTTCCTTCCCTTCTTACTTGAAGTCTGACATTTCTGTAAATGAATCAAATTTTAAATTTGTAAAATACATTTTAAAGTAGAAACTGTTTAGGAGAGCTCAAGTAAATAGATATATTACTGGGTGTCTCAGGAACAGTCCTGAAGTTCAGCATGTACCTCCAACAAAGTATTTCAGGTGTTCTAACAAACTGTGGGAGCTTCCTCTACCAGTCTGTTAAACAGTGCATAAGTGGGTCCCTATAACCTGCTCCTTGTTTATCTCATCCGCCCTCACAACTCATCCTACATTCCAAGGCGCTCTTTTCTGCCTTTTTACAGTTTTCTGTCGACTCTCTGCCAGGATAAACTTGTTTCTCTAATGAGCAGTAGCACTTCCAGCTCTCCGTCACAGTGGCCTGATAACATCATGGCCATGACTTTCTGTCTCTCTACCATCTGCATAGGGTTTTTTCTCTTCTCCGCTGCCTGGCCCTCGCAAAAACCAAGAAATAAACTCAGAAGCTGTGCTGTTTCAGCCAAGAGTTTGTTTGTGATCTCTCCGGGCTGCTGTTGGGAGCAACACAGTCATTTGCTGCAGATTTTAGTTGACTTTTTTACCCAGAGGGAGAAAGAGATCTTGCTGTTTTTACTGCCAGTTTGTATTACTGTACTCCAAACTCAGTTACACACTATGATGACAGACCACCTGCAGTAGAAATGGGTTTTATAGCCTATTTTGCCTCCAAGTTGTCATTTTAGCCCATAATGTTGTTTGTTAGCAAGATATACAGCTTAAGTGATGGCTTTCTTCTTGTGGTGCAACAGAGCTGTAATTCTGGGGAAGGAGGTTATCTTTCAGTCATTTTTTTTTACTTTTACTCAGTGGTAAAAAATTGTGAAATATTATGAAATGCAGGTGCTCGACCGACAATGATTTGATTTCACTTTGTCCTTGCTTTTGTTTTCCGTAGACGATGGAAAGTTTCCAGAGGCCGTGCGAGTGCTCCTGACCTGGCTGGAAAGGGGGGAAGTCAATCGCAGAAATGCCAACAACTTCTACTCCATGATCCAGTCCTCCAACAGCCACATCCGCCGGCTGATTGGTGAGAAGAGTCAGCACGAGAAGGAGATGGAGGAGGCCAAAGACAAGTTCAAGACGGCTCTGGCTGGCATAGTGGCTCAATGTGAGTCTCTAACATTTCTCCTCCTACTTACCACAGTGCCTCGCACCTTTAGTGTTCTGAGACTTTGTCCTTATATAAACTCAGACTTTAGTTTTTTATAAAGATTTTATGTCACTGACTACTGAGTAATGCATAATCTAAAAGAAAAAGAAAGAAAATGAACCATGGTTTTAACCTTTTCACTTATCTTATTTCACTTATATCTTATTTCACTTATCACCATTTCTGTAGATTAACAGAAAGAACTGCAGTTGTGCATTTGTTTTTAACCCTACCAGCTCCATACTTTATACAACCAGCTGGGTCTAATTCGGGACTAGACACTAACCTGGCAGTAGCCAGGTTGATATGTATAGAACTGAGTTGAGTTTTAAGTTATCAATCTGGGATGGCTCCACTTCAGTCTGTCTGTGAATAGGAGGGGTATTTAGTACAACACTTTGAACTGGTTGGGTAACGTGCCAGCTAGTACCCGTCTTCCATAATATGCCTTCAGCCAATTGCAGCAGCGAATACCCAGGATTCCAGTCAATAGGATTTGTCTGCAGCTTCTTGAGTATTTTTACAACTAGAGGAGTGACATGATAAATCAAACTTTTCCATATTCTATCGGGAGAACACTAATATGATTTAAGTCATTCTATGTTATATGTTATTATATTATGTCTTGATTTAAATTAGAAATATGTTTTAATTTTTTAGATGCAGTCAATAAATAAACATTTAAACGTAACATGACATGCAAATGTAAGTAAACGTGAATAAGGATGTTGCGGACTAGGATTAAAAAACATAACTAAATGTGTGCAGTAAGTTCGGCAAACGGAAAATCTGTTTGAATTGAATTTAAGTTCAGATAACTTGAGTGATAAGTTAGAGGAGCAGGATGACCCAACAAGAAAATTGGTCCCACACAGCTGAAACCTTTGTTTTGCCTTAAGGTTGCTCCATATTTCTTGATAAATTTGATAATGAAGCGCAAAAGATCCGAGATTTTTTTTCGCAGATCTCGTTGACAGATGTACTTATAAACACAGTTTATTGCGTCAGTTAGTTTGAAGCAGCTCCTGTATCGGTCAAGTGACTTTGTTAAAACGATACACGCACAAGGTTTGGCTCTGTGAGCTCCACACATGCGCTGATGTGAAAAAAAGAGATCCTGATGAATGAAACCATCTCAACAGTAAGGTTATTTTTCCTAATGCTATGTAATCTACACTGTGTGCAGAATTATTAGGCAAATGTATATTTTGACCACATCATCCTTGGCTTGAAAGCCAACTACCAATTAAGTGAATCAGCTGGTGTGCATCTCTGTAATGAGAAGGGCTGTGGCCTAATGACACCCAATATAAGGTGTGCTTAATTATTAGGCAACTTCCTTTCCTTTGGCAATTTGGGTCAGAAAAGAGATTTGACAGACTGAAAAGTCAGAAAATGTCAAATGTCCTTCAGAGAGGTGCAGCAGTTCAAGCTTCAAGCTTTTGAAGCGGGATCATCGCCCAATCAAGCGGTTCATGGCAAATAGCCAACAGGGGCGCAAGAAGCATGTTGAGCAAAGAAGACTCAAAATAACTCCCCATGAATTGAGAAGGATCAAGCGTGTAGCTGCCAGGAAGCCATTAGCCACCAGTTGTGCCATATTTCAGAGCTGCAACATGCCTGGAGTGCAGAGAAGCACAAGATGCTCAATACTCAGGTACCTGGCCAAGGAAAGGAAAGCCAAAAAAAAGGCCACTTTTGAACAAGAGAAAACATCAAGATTGGGCCAAGAAATATCTGAAGACTGATTTCTCCAAGGTGTTTTGGTCTGATGAAATGAGAGGGAGTCTTGATGGGCCAGATGGATGGGCACCAGGCTGGATCAGTGAAGGGCAGCAAGTTCCTTATTGACTCAGACGCCAGCAAGGTATAAGTGGGGTACTGGTTTGGGCTGGTATCATCAAAGATGAGCTTTTGTGACCTTTTCGGGTTGATGATGGAGTCAAGATTAACTCCCAGAAGTACTGCCAGTTTCTGGAAGACACTTTCTTCAAACAGTGGTACAACAAGAAGTCACCATCATTCAAGAAAAACATGATATGAACAGTTTCTGGGAGGCTGTGGTGGCTGCTGCACGCAATGTGGATCGCAAACAGCTAGACGTAAGGCTTTTGAGCGTCATGGTGAAGAGAGGTGGCTATATTGGTCACTGATTTGTTTTTGTTTTTTTGTTTTTGAATGTCTCAAATGTTTATTTCTGAATTTTTACTTGTTATATTGGTTTACCTGGTGAAAATAAACAAGTGAGATGGGTATATATTTGTTTTTTATTACGTTGCCTAATAATTCTGCACTGTAATATCACACAATTGTGGCCCAATAATAAAAATAATCCTCAAAAATACAACTTGTCTAATAATTCTGCAATAATTCTGTATATAGGGTGATGTGAGGTGCAAGTTTTAAGCCAGAAATAGTGCTTTGTTTAAAACCTGTTCTGTATAGCATTTCTAGGTTTTCATGATACTGTTTCTTTACTAATGTTGACTAAGAACTGCCAGAGGCCTAAAGACAACATCTTTATTTATTCTGAGGTGAAAGGTCAGACAAAAAGGAAAGTTAATACAATTATAAGCCACACTTTACACATTATTTATTTGTATAAACCTTTGGAAACCACTATTTACCTTCCACTTCATAAGTATGCTTTACTTTAATTTAGTCAATTACATAATATTTAATCACAGTACTTGGCTGAGAACTGATTATATGTGACGCTAAAGGAGTAAAATCAATCCTCTTGGAATAGATATGCAGTCAGATGGGCTTTAAAATGGTAGATCTTTTTTCTTTATGTTACATATTAAAATCTAAATTGAGACTTATTTGCCTGGAGTGCTGATATCCCCTTAAAAGTAAGTATTTTTTTGTTCATAACCTGACATTTATATTATATGTGCAAACATTTACAAATATGTTCATCCCATTCATTAAATAAACAGCCATGATCTAAATTGTTGATTAAACAATGGTAAGTTAAAGGGCTTTCAGATTAAAAGGGAAGAAAATGTTTTTTTGTTGCCTTTGAACTGAAAAATACCTACAAAAGTTCGAGGTTATTTTGGGATTCATGAAAGGCGAGACATCAGGAGTCTGTTATTAAGGTTCCCTTCAGATGAAAGAAGTAAGTAGCCTAACACGTTTCTTTTTTTAAACTAGAATACAATGGAGACCAAACATGCACAGTAACTGCATGCTAAGTTCTTATGAGCTCCTATAAAGCCAAAGGCAGAAAGCCCCATGCTTGTGCAGCTCCCACCTTTGACAGCTTGAGCTGTGCAGATGCCAGTTTACACCACAGCCTGCAGCGCTTCATCTCCACGCATCCCATCACACGCATGCTAAATAAAATGTAAACATCCAGTCAATCCTCAGTCGCAGTTGGTAGTGTTTCATGCATTGTTTATTAAATCTGCCATCTTCAATTATTTTGACCCATATACATTCTCATTCATGGTGCTGCCTTTCCTGTAAGTTTGGTTTTTAGTTTGATTAAAAATGTGCTCTGACCCACCGGAGCTATTTTACAGGTTTGAACTGATGGCTCTCCTTTTTATAATATGCACAGTTCTTCATTTCTTTGTTGCTATGTTAAGTGTGATTGAAGTGGTCTTTTTATAGGGAGCAAATTCAAAGATGTTTTGCAGAGTTGTGGAAACGGATATGCACTCTTACAGATTTCTACTTTTCCCTTTTTTTAAAAATTGACCTGGGTGAAAATAAAATGCTGTTTTTAATAGATTATTTATTTCAAGTGTAAAAACCTTGGCCCTTTGACAAAGAGTAATTGCCCCTCTTGTTAAAACATGAATTAACTGTAATTAACACAAGTGTTTGGATAGCTGATTGATTTTAAACCTTTATAATCAAGAAACCATTAAAACAGACAACATGAAAAAGGCTGACATCACAAAAGACAACATTCAATATAACGAACAGTCATTCATATCTACCAGTGTGAAAAATGTGGACTGACCTCGTCAGCTTTTAACTGAAACTTTCCCATCTGTCAGATGTAAAACAATCCTCATATAAAAGTTTTAAATGCTAAAGAATTATTGTTTTTCACTCAGCAGCATAAGGATCTACAAAGCTTTTGTTCTCTATCATATGAAGCTATAATTTAAAAGCCTTTTTTTT